CCCAAGGTTGTAGCTAAGGCCTGTGCTGCTGAGAGCTGAAAGAAGCTGATTGGAGTCAGAGGACTGAAATAAAGTTTTTAACAAGAAATCCAGCTGAATCCTGTTTATTCGGACATACCATATTAAAACACGTATTTCTTACACTCTCATAAAAAACATGACCAAAGCCTTGCTCTGACTCATTCATGCATGTTTSAGAAATCCTGCAGCGTTTTTAGGAAGCCATGCTGAGGAGCAAAACGACAGGTGGAGACCAGAAACAACTTTGGGGACCAGAAATGCCCCTGGGACGTGTCTTTAAGCCAAACTTCCTCATCACGGAGCACACCTCCCCACCCCCGCACCCTGCCCATGACTCCTACAGGCTCTCAGCAGTAACAAAGCAAACGAGTGAAAGTGAAACTTAAACTGTCTGCTGCTCTCAACACTACTTCTCACTCAGTGAAGCTCTTTTCAGATTCAAAATACCTATGAGGAAATGTATTTTCAGATGCCAAGTAAACTGCATCATAGCGCATGCCGCACCGAAATGATTGGGACAGAAGCGGAAGGTGGTTCTTAAAGAGACAGAGGCGATTTTCAAGGCGTTTAGAAGAGGAAGTGATAAGACAAGTTTATTTTCTATTTAAACATAAAAACAGCATTTTAATAACAGCTAAAGGTAACATAAATACTTTAATATGGTATAGTAGTTAAATATATGCCTGAGAAACATAATATTGCCCCTTTAAAATGTAACGTGAACGTTCTCTGATTTTTTTCAAAAAATCAGAATTGAGCATTAAGACCTGCAGTGTGAACTTAGCCAGTGTCATGAAAAAGAGTGAAAGTTAAATATTAGCTGAAGTRGCGTTCTTTCACTCCTGTATGTTGGTTTTGTGAAAGGATTGTATTGTAATGCTAAAAAATGATTTGAAARAAATTGAGCCTTTGTTTGGCTAACCAGTAGCCTACCCTGAACAAGACTTCCTGTTTGACAGAACATCGCTACAAAATAACCTGACTGTCCCTTTAACTGTGCTGTCCCTTTGCCACTGTTTTTCCTCCGTCCTCTCCAGCCTACTTCACTGAGCTCCACAGTCGCTCCGAGCGCTCCCTGCAGGAGGTGCTGTCTCCGCTCGGACCCCTGTACTCCCAGAACACTCGTCTGTTCGGGGACCTGTACACGGACCTGCGCCAGTACTACCGGGGCTCTGCGCTCAACCTGGGCGAGATCTTCTCGGACTTCTGGTCCCGCCTGTTGGAGCGAACCTTTAAAGAATCTGCCCTCACAGGCGTGAGTAACAACACGTTGAAACAGCAGACACAGAACGATGTGGGGAATCTTAACAAACACTAATCCAAAAATTAGTTGCACTAACCCGAAAGCACTAACCCAAATATTTTGGTCCCCTAAATCTAAAGCACTAATTCACTGAAAAAGTTAGCAAAATCTAATTCTTTAAAACAATAATGTTGATCAATAACATTTAAAAACATTAGTTTGTCCCATAAATTTAGCAAGTGCTAATCCACTAAAGAATTAAAAAAACAGCAAAAGCCTTAAAGGGCCTGTGACATCAAATTTTTTGTAATAAACATAAGTGCATTTTTGGAAAGATAATATTGATAACATATTGCAAAACAAATTTCACATCGCTGAGATGAACGGTTGTTGAGATATYKRCATGTGAAGAAACAGGAAGTGATGTCAAAGGCGAATGTCGGCCTGTAACACAGAGCATTGTAACAAAGGCTAAAAACACAAACTGTAGAGAAGAATCTGATGTTTCTTTAGATTATTTTTTGTCACTATCAAAGAGAAACGAAGAAGAGTTCAACTTTAAATAATTTTGTTTTAATAAACAGAGACCATCGAGTTTATTTTGTTAACGAGTTCCCCTTTGAYGTCAYTTCCTGTTTCAGTTTAGCTGAGCCAAATTTGAAAGAAAATAGGCCAGTTATGTGACAAAATGGGTAAAATTGTGTGTGCTATGCCAATTTTATTAAGTATAAAGATGCTTTCTTTGACTTTTTGTATTTGAAGGATAGGCATGTCACAGGCACATAAAGCACTAATCAGAAAATTTGTTCCCGTTAGTGCTTTAGTGCTTTAGGGGAACTGTAACCACTGCTTATAAATCGTTCTTTTAAACAAAATTTGGGGGTTTTCTGATCTTTTCTTGCAGTACAAATTATAATTTAATAAAACATGGAAAAGTACTTTAATTTGACAGGTATTAATAATCGGAAACGTTTTTTTTTACTCTGGTAGGGATGAAAAACAGGTGGTGTATTCTGAGGAATGTAATTCTCTTATGGTGTCTGCTGCCGACAGGTCAACCTGTCRGAGGATTATCTTGAATGTGTTGCAAAGCAACAAGAGACACTGCGGCCTTTCGGAGACATCCCCCGGGACGTGAAAGGGAAGGTGTCCCGCTCTTTTGTCACTGCCAGGTCGTTTGTCCAGGGGCTCCTAGTCAGCACCGACGTGGTCAGGAAGGTCTCGCAGGTCAGTGTCCTACTTCTGGTCTCCGTGTTTTGGGACATAAATCTTATTTTGCACCTTACCTTAGAGGACAAACACCGAACCCCAAAAACCCAGCTTACTGCGTCCTGGAGTTGACACACAGTGATTCTGATTCTGACAAGTCTCCAGGAGTTAAATGTAAATAAATATTGTCGTCTCCACTGATGATAAAACTGTTTTTGTGTGTGTGTAACAGCGTGTTTAATGTCTGCTGGGCTGATTGCCAGGGAAACAGATATGTCGGCTGTGCGGTTGTCACACCCTAACTGTCAGAGAGAGAAGCCTCCGCCCTCCAAATGAGAAACACAAAGATCATCAGAACTGAAGTGTCAGGCTGGCTTTCAGAACAAAGCTCTCATTTGGAGGGATGACAGCACTGATTTCACATTCTGGGTGTGATGATCTGTTTTCCTCAAGCTTTAGTTGCAGGGAAGTGAAACAATCCCTCCGATTTCTGTGATGTTTGTTTTCTGTGGTTCTTAACGTCGAACTGTATTGAATTCATGCTTTTTACCTTTTAGTGTTACACTCYTTTAGCCACGTAAGTGTATTTTTATTCTGTCAGGTATAGCTCTGAAATTGAGGGTTCTCAAGCACATTTTTTGTGTATCTTGATWTTTGTGTTATAATTTCTTTGCGTACCTTTGATTTATTGTTTCTCCTCATCAAAACTGTAAAGAGCTGTGATTAAAAAAAATCACAGTAGCGGTCAGTCAGACATGGGTGTAATTTGTGTGTGTGTGTGTGTGGGGGGGGGGGGTATGACCCCCACAATAACTTGACCTTGCAATAAAAAAACCCTCAATAAAATTACATCATTTGCTCTAACACAATAGAATTTAATTGGTTTAAKACACAACTGCACCGCACCAGGTAAATAAATACATTCTCTTGGAAAACTGAGAAATTTAGGTATGTTGTATAATACCAAATTTATAGTAACTAAGTACATTTACTTTGTTATGGTACTTGAGTAATTTTTTAGG